TCCAGTGTTGAAATGCTGACAGCAGAACCCTATTAAGCCTCCGCCTATGAGCCACACCTGTGAATCCTCAGCCAATCCTGACCTCAGATGCAACCTGTGAAGGAAGCAGCAACACATCTATTATATGTTTGTATTTCTTTAAAATACTAGAAAATATAAATAACTTAGTTTTTATAACAAATGGATTCATGCATTTTAAGCAGATGTTATGGATAATGAATCCTCAGTAACTGAATGGCTTTCCTGCTGCGCTCCTGTGCGCCTCTGACCTGAACTCGCCTTCAGGCTAAAAGCTCCGCACATGCAAACTGATCCTGGTGACGCAGTAAAACGGTTCCCTGAATGGACCGGGACAATCCCTCAGATTACAGGCTGACCTACAGGATTTGTTTCAGGAGATGCACCTGACTTCACCGGAAACCGACCAGAAGCAGAAGGTGTGGGGTTATTTTATCCTCCCGGTAGATTCCAGCAGTAAAGTGATTTTTTTTTTTTATTTCAGGGAGATTTATTAATTAGATTTAATATTTTCCTGTGAGGTTTAATACAGAGGGATCCAGTTTGGATGGTTTTACGCAGATACTCTGGATGAATTGCTCTCAGATGATGTGCGGCTGGTAAAGGTGTGAGTTTGTAATCAGTTTTCTCCAATCTGATAATGAATAATATTCCTGCTTCCGGTGGAAACCTCAGCTTTAATCCCCCCAGATTCCCACGCAAAGATGGATTGCGCCCTGACAGCCAGCCGGGGACGTCGCGGCCTCACTGGATGATTTTTTCTGCTATGTTTGCGTCTTTTTGGCTGAACTGAAAAAGCAAAGGCAAGAAAGCGTCACCGTTTGTCCCTCCGCCGGTGCTTAAAATGAGGAGGACGGTTCTTAAAGAAGCCGCAAAGCGCTTCCCCTGGGTGGCCAACGTCACCCTGTACGGCTGCCTGTTTGCCGGCGGGGACCTGGCGCACCAGCTCATCGCGCAGAGGGAGCGCATCGACTGGAAACACACGCGCAACGTGGCCATCGTGGCCATCACCTTCCAGGGGAACTTTAACTACTTCTGGCTGCGCGCTCTGGAGAAACGTTTTCCTGGGAAATCCGCAGGAATGGTTTTCCGCAAACTGCTGCTGGACCAAAGCTTTGCGTCACCTTTGGCTACCAGCGTCTTCTATACAGGTGAGAAACAACCTGAATGGATTTAAATATTATAGAAAAGTTTATCTGGTTTTAGGTCAGTAAAAAATTAAACCATCTGCCTGATATTATTCATTTATTTATTAGAATATAACAAAATACAAAGAATACATTATTTTTATAACATCTTACTGATACAAGGTTAACCGGAGAAGGGGGGGCAAAAGTTCCTGTCAGGAAACGGTGTTTGTTTGGCGGACCCAAATGCAGAGACCAGTAGGCAGAGGTGAATTTAAGTGGGTTTATTGAGGTTCACAAAAATCCAACAGAAAATACCAAACGTACCAGAACCAAGGAGACATCAGGGGTAAACCAAAAACTCTAGGAACCAGGGAGAGACGAGGAAGGCAGGCAGATGTTAGACGAGGATCCAGCAACAGGAGCTGAAGAGGGAGGGCTTTTAAAGAGGACAGAGACAAAGAGAGGGCTAACGAGGGGATTGAAAACAGGTGAGGACAGAGCAGAAAACAGAGCAAGGGAAAGAGGACACAAGAGGGCAGCAGAGGACAACAAATGGAAAAACCAAGAAAAACAGGAACTAACAAACCAAGACTCTGACAGTTCGCAGGGCAAACTCCTGCATCCAACACCACCATCCCTGCTAACACTTATTGGAAT